CTCTGTATCAATATCTAGGAAAATTTCACAATAAAATCTGAATTAAGGTCAAACTGTCATACAGCAATTCAGTGAATTTGGAAATGTAACCTGACTTAACAATCACTGAAGACAGAGCAAAAATAGCTGATTGGGCAGTGGAATGCTAAATGGCTGTTTGTTTTTAGAAAACTTGGTTTTCTAAAACATACCCAAAGTCTACCACAAAAACTGCTTATCCCCTGTAATGTCTTAAAATTCTATTTAGACATACAAACACAGTCTTGGTTTTTGGGGTGTATTCTTTCAAAAGTGTAAAGTTATTGGAAAAACATGGGAAAATGCAGCCACTTAGGTAAAAATCAGAATTCCCTATGGAGAAATCTGAGTGCTACAAAAATTGAAAGTTCTTAGTTTTCATAAGTTATATTTTAATGGTGAAAAGGACAGACAAAGCTTTACACAAAAAAAAGGCAAGAATTTCTCAGCAGGAAGAGTTGATGACATTAATCCAGAAGTTATGATATCAGATAGGCGTATTATGGAGAGAAAAGACTCATAGTCAATGACCAGATCACACTGGTGAGTGGCAGAGAAGACGGAACTGTTGATGGCAACTTAAAAACATTAGGCACTCAAAATATTAGCCTCAGATTCTGTCTTCTTTCTTGGCTTGTGATTATAGATTTTTATTTTAAGAATTGCTAGAAAATGCCACAGAAAAAGTAATTACCAAGAAAATTAACACAGACCACAATATTGCATTCATGACACACTTTTCCAAAATACAACTTATTTCCATATGCTTTTTCTCTGAACCTGTTAGACTTTAAGTGTATTTTTATCATAACCATGCAGTTTAAACTGCTACAGGTCATGTGTTTTTACAAATCTACCCACTCATCAGTGTAGTTTAAAATTTTAAAAGCCAATTTTAACTTAAGACCAATAACCAAATAAGGAACACATAAAAGGAATATTTAGGCTACTTTATCACTGTTGTTGCTTTTCCAGACATACTGTTTAGGCATGACCTTTCTCATTTTATTTTCTTTTAAGGTTTTGCTACCTTTTGCCTTCCAGCTCCCAAATTAACATGCTGCTGCTCGGCAGTTATCAGGCCAAGTATCTATTGTGCACTAAAACCAAAGTGGTGATAAACACAGCATCATTCACTCCAATTTGTGCACTGTCCATTAAATGCAAAGAAATATGTGATTTTTCCTCTCTTATTACAATCATAATAGAAGATATCAATAACTAAGTTTAGCTATTCTTAAACTTTTCACATGAGTAATGGTCTGAAGATAGCACTGAAATTACTATAGTTGCAAGTTTTACACATTTGGCTCTCTGAGCTACAGTCATAGTCATGAGCATGACACAAAAGGTTTGACTTCTGTTCTGCTTTCCTTAGCATAAATTTTTGCAATAGGCATGCAAGAGTCCCTAACCCTGCTTTCATTAGCCATTCTGCAACACATTATATACCCTTTGATAAAATCATTGTTGTACAGACACTGGCAATACTGGTTGATGATCACTTCCCTTAATCTAAACTGAAAATTGCTTAACAATGTAAAAAAACCCACAACTTTTGAAACATATACAGTTCCATTAAAAGTATATGCACAGGATTTCAATCAAATTAGTTCCTGCAGTTTAAGAAGCAGTTACCTCAGGTATATCAGCTGAATATATTTGCGATCCTAATTAGGTACAGTTGTGAAATAAACTACTCCCCCTTCTGTTGTTCTAGGGTGTCTGTCTTATCTGCCATCACTTGCCTGGCACTTCAAGTAGGATTGTTGATACAGGCAGAAATAGGTTTGAATAAATCTTTTTCTTTCTTTCTTTCTTTTCTTTCTTTCTTTCTTTCTTTCTTTCTTTCTTTCTCTTTCTTTCTTTCTTTCTTTCTTTCTTTCTTTCTTTCTTTCTTTCTTTCTTTCTCTCTCTTTCTTTCTCTTTCTTTCTCTTTCTTTCTTTTCTTCTTTCTTCCTTTCCTTTCTTTTTTTTCTTTCTTTCTTTCTTTCCTTTTTTCCTTCTTTCTTTCTCTCTCTCTTTCTCTCTCTCTCTCTTTTTCTCTCTCTCTCTTTCTTTCTTTCTTTATTACTTAGCTCAAATGTAGTTCCTTCTACTACTTGCTTTTCTGCAACAGCATTTTTAGGATAATCATTTTATCAATTCACAGCAACCAATACTAACGTATTACAGCAGTAAAAAAGAAACAGTCATATATATTAGATTTTATATGTTCAGAGAATGTGAGTGTTTTTACTGGCCTTATAAGTCAGAGAACGTCTGAATTATCTTAGATGGTGGCCTAGCTCTTCCAAGTTCACAGAATTCTCAGTTTTTGCCCGCTATTGCTGAGGCATGTAATACAGTCTCTGGATGAAGGTAGCAGTAATGTACCTAAATCTAGCTGTAATGTACTTTACATAAAGTCTGTAGTTAAAGAATGCTCGGACCCAGAACTGTGTTTTGGTCATAAAGGAAGAAAGCAAAAGGAGAAAGAAAGAACATTTACGTTAGTTTTACTTATGGTAACCTATTGACAAATCGTTCCTAGATTTCAGATTTACACAGCATAACGTTTTGAAAACATCTTTCTTACCTGCATTAAAGATAATATTTATGTTGATTTATTTTTTCTGTGACAATGACACTTATTTAATCAAGTCTGGTTTCCATTTTTAAAAATTATAGCAGTGCAGCCAAATTTTGGTTGAAGCCTTCTGTGAAGACTGTGGTTGATTATTATGTGTTAAAATTCTTTTAAATATTTGCATGAGTTTTTAAATGTCAATAATTAAACTGCATTAACTGGTGGACCTTCAACATTTTTTCTTTTTTACAAGCTAAAATCACTTACAAAATCTTGTTTAAATTTTAAAACAAAGAGTAACGCTTCTTGGAAGAAAATATCTGTGTAGATTCTTCAAGACAAACAGAAATTTCCATCATACCAACTTGAAAGAAATAGACTGATCATTGTTCATTTACAAACACCTTGCCAAATTCTGCAGCAGCATCATATTCTACGTTCTACATTCTACTCACAAGCTTGAGTGAAAGAACTAGTAGATTAATATTACCATCCTCTTGGGATAATAATATTATATAATTACGATACAGATTTCAAGGAAATAAACAGGAAATATATTGTGCCTTTAAAAGAAATCTATTCTTGATCTTTTCATAATGAAAACAAAAAATTAAAAGTAATCATAGCCATTAATGTTGAAATTTCTGTTGAGTAATGTTTAATGATTAAGAATACTGGCAAAAAGAATAACAGGGAAAATATGGCAGGGAAAATCCAGTTCATTAGCTTAACCTGTTAGGGAAGCTGGAAGAGGCTACAACAAGCTTAAGGAAGAATTTAAAGTGCACAAATGCAACCTACCGGAATTGAAACCAATTCTCTGTCTGAATTTTGTAGACTTATAGAAGAGAAGTTTATGAACCCCAGTGTCTTTGGCTTGAAATGAGTTTCACGTTACCATAGTTCACATTTAAATACACATACCTTTTCAAATTGTTTCTATTTGCAATTTTAAGTAAGCAACTTCATAAAACCTTTAAAATCATCTCTGTTTCTCCCTTAAATATTTCAATTATTTGTAGTATTAATTAACATGGCACTGTTCAGAATCATGATCCAGAGTAATGTGTTAGGACACTGGGTACAGGTTTGCATTTTAACCATGCTACATTGTCAGACATAACAGAATCTGGATGGAGCCAGCAGGTGCACAGGGCCCAACTCCTGCTCTTTTGCAAGCTATGCAGGAGAGTGGGTCAGAGAAGCTGACATAAGAAAAACATTCCCTTATTTTCCCTAAGTAATCTGGAATTTGCGTTCAAATTTGAGCTTTAAAAATCAGCATTATCAAGTAATACTTGGACAGAAATCGTGATTGTATCTCCCTGAGTTAAACATAATGGAATCTCTTCAGACTTTTTTCAGGTTTTCATTTAGTACAACAAAGTGGTTCATAAGCTAGCAATTCAAATATGTAATAAAATCACAATGTATAAGCAGACTTTAACTTAGTAATTTGTTGAAGTGGTTTTTCCCTCCCTTCTGCATGCTTGCAGCCTGGTATCCATTGACTCTTAATGAAGGCTGCAATTCTACAAATGGAGAGATAACAAGCAAGTTAGGTGAGTTTTCTGTAGGTGCTCTACTGAATCTTCACCTCTGAGCGTAAAAATTGATCTTCTGTCTACCACAGTAGAAACTTGTGGGAGACAATTTCTTGCAGCTTCCCCTGTGTTGATTGCTGTTTGCTTATCTCTAGCGACAGATAAAGCATTGCTGCCAACAGATTCTGTCAGCTTACATATCAAAGTGTGTGGAGGTTCAGGAGAACTTCAGTGTATAATTGTGCAGATTTATAGCTTTTTTTTTCCCCCAACAGATTTCAAACTTCATCTGCCACCAAGATAAAATAACAAACAATGCTCTCAGAGCATTTTTCAGCTAAGAATCTCACACGGCTATTATATTCTATGACATTTTCTCACACTGTTCCTGAAACCTCATCTACTTGGAATTGTTCTGTTTTATCTTCCCCACAAAAGACTATCAGGATATAGCATCCTATTGAACCAAAACTAAATTACTGGGACAAGTAAAACTAAATTACTGGGACAAGAAAAAGACTGTAGAGGCAATAGAGTTGAATAATGAGGTACATAAGTAAACATATGCAATGCCAATTCCAACAGCTGAGATTCCCCACAGATTCTATAAAAATCTGATCTGTAGATGGTTATGTGCCTCCTTCAAAACCTCCTAGAAAGATCCCATTAGAGGATTATGCCATATGCAGTCTATACATGCTCTGTAGGAAATGTCTAAAGCAGCTTATCGCGCAAAACAGAGACATTACATTACGGTAACTTGAAATTCTGATTTTTTTTCACTGTTATGTACAGGAAAAAATATAAATGCAAAATACAACTACCTCATTTTTAGCTTTTATAGAAAAACAGCCACAAACAGGTATTACCTTCATGAGAAATTTCTTTCCAAGGATTAGGTGGATACATGAAAGCAGCATTCTGGATTTGGTCATGTATGTCTTCATCTTCATTGAATGGAAAGGTACCACTGAGGCTTACATAAATGATGACGCCCACTGACCACATATCCAGAGATCTGTTATAGCCTTTGTTTCTCAGCACCTCTGGAGCAAGGTAGGCTGGTGTTCCTACAACTGAACGTCTAAATGATTTCTCTCCAATGATTCGGGCAAAGCCGAAATCACAAAGTTTTACCTGTTTAATGAAAAATGCTAAAGTAAGACATAAATTATTTTTATTACTAAATACATAGTTGAGGAACTTTTATCATGGTTTAGTTGCAAAATGCATCTCTACTGTTCCTTCAAGGATACTTTTTTTAAACTCATCTTTGAGAGGAATATCTTATTCCACTGAGACAATTAGTTGCTTGAAAATTCTCACTTAACAATTCAGTATAGATCCTTCCCTTCCAATTATTGGTATTGATATTATCTAAAAATTATCAATAGTACTCATTTTGAATATGGGCAGTTGAAGATTATAGATTAACTCTGCAGATCAAAGGTAAGAAAAGCTGATACAAGTAAATACCTTTTAATGAGAAATATGACCAGTCAGAAGGTATATTTAAGTATCCTGCAATCTACATGGCATTTAAATTAACAAAACGAAAGGAGGAGCAGCTCTTGTTCTTCATGAACTCTACCCCAACTGTCAGAAAAATAAGTTTCTTTCTGGATCACATCAATAAGCTAAGTAATTTGTTCTGTAATTGTGAGCAAATTAGAAACAATCATACAAGTAGCTACATCACACTTGAAAATCTAGTTGAATATTTTAGGCAAATGACAAAAGGCAAGGATTTTCAAACATGATTTCTTTGTAAAGGGTTTTGAATAAGTGATTGTTCTTTTTCTTATCTAAAAATTCTGTGTAGACAGGTCACTAATCACTTCCTTGTTTATACATAAACATTGTTAACACTTATTAATTTGAACAATTTAGCTTAAGAAAAGGGCATTTTCTACTTGCCTGTGGGAAAGGATCAGCTGATGCCAATAACACATTTTCTGGTTTGAGGTCACAATGAACAATATTTTTGAAATGAAGATGTCTTAAAGCAACAAGGATCTGTGAATAAACAAATCAAATTATGTTTGTTTGTTTTATATTGTTTTACAGTATCTGAGACCAGACAAGCAAGAACTTGTGCGAAAAAAAAACAATCTAACAAGAATGTACCTTTTATATAAATGTCAACAATGAAAAGAAAAAAAACCACCAAAAGCAAAAATGTCAGCTATTATTTGCTGTGCCTCAAGTTTTCATGATATTTCATTGCATGGAATATGAATTTTCCCTCTCCAAAGAGTTTACATTATAAACATTTTTTAAAAACTGGGTTTTAAGTATTTATTTTTTTTGTCCATGAAATCTTTGAATGTAGAAACATTTGCAGAATGATCTTCCACATCTAAATTCAACTAAAAAAAAAAAATCACAGAAATATTATATGATCCAATTTAAGTGTTTTCTTGAGGAGAGAAAGAATAAAGAGTGTTGTATGTATTTCTGTTCTGTTACATACACAAGAACACGGCAACAGAGTGTAACTGATACCCATCCTTTCTGTGTGGCTTTAACTCCATTCCTTATATTTGATTGGGACTGGCAGAATTTGCCAGGTGATGGTGAGGAGGCTGAATGAACCTGAGAATAGATTCTAGAGCTTGTGGCAGTTTTGCCCATGGACACCTTGAAACTAGGGAACCTGTTAAGTTCTACACCAAAAAATAAACTTATAATAATAAACACCATAGCACCAATGTTCCTGCTCCTTTCATTGTTCTGACTGCTAAGGCACAGGCTGCTTTGACTCTGAAGTGGCTCTCTACTCAATTGCGTATCTAAACTTAAACCAGTATTATGGACAGCTAAGGAAGCAATATAATATGACAACAGGAAGCCCCCAAAAAACCCAGATCAAATTGTTAACAGAAGCCATAAAGGAAGCCAGAGTCATTTAATCAAAAGTAGCACTGAGGTGCAATCTCAGCACTGAAAATAGGCATACCAGTGCATAGTACAAACTGCAATGGCTGGGTATGAGACAGTTCAAGAAGCTCCAATTTCTTTTTTCAGGTCTTAAACAATTTGCTTTAAGCACTTTCCATCCCTTTCTTGTGCTTCATTCTTCAAGCATATGAGAAACTGTAGCCTAATGTCCCTTTCATCCAGCAGCCAACAGCTGTATCGAGTTCTAGGTCCTCTTAATGTTTTACTACCTACCAGATAAAGTGCAGAAATGTACAGAAAGCTGTTTTACCGTCCCTGATATTACTACAACTCAGGCTTTCATAAACCAGACAGGTAAAACACATCAAAAGCAAAAGATAAGAAACAGTGATCATAATTGAACTCAAATTTCCTTCTACTTCTACAATTAATTTCTTACCTGAGTAATTAAAAACTTTGTTATTCTCTCTGGCAATCTGCCCTTTTCACTTGACAAGATCATCTCCAGCATGTCTCCATGGAGTTTTTCCATAACAACAAAGACTCTTTCCGGTGTCTCAAACATACACTCCAGATTTACAACTCCAGGATGATGAAGGTTCTATTAAAGATAAATAAAGCACTAGAGTTCCCAATATGATTGGTAGGTTTTATCACTACATGGCCAGACTTCAGATCCCGATCTAAACTGGACAATGCTTCACTACTTCATAATTTAAACTGTATGGCTAAACTGTGGACAACAGGCACAAAATTTCTCAGGACAATACAGGAGAATGTAGGAACTTCAAATCAGTTTAAGGAACATTTGTTTTCCTTATGGCACCTGGTGCTTAACACTGTAGAAATCGTAACTTCTAATGTGACATTGCAATACATTTGTTCTTGGCTGTTTATGAAGATTAAGCAGCAAAGGTACTAGTATTTTTTCAAAAACACTAGTGATTATCAGTTAAAATAATTATATTATCTGGTATTTAAGGAAATAAATAATGGAGTTAATACACTAAAAAAAAGGAAAAATTACCTGTAAAATTGCAACTTCATTTCGAAGTTGACTTTCTTGTTTAGTTGGAAATCTTAGTTTATCAATTATTTTAATGGCAACATCTCTTCCAGTTTTGCGATGTTTTCCTGCATTAATAAAACAAAAGGTCTCTAACAATTAACATCATTAATTATGAAAAGTGTTCCCCTTTCATGGATTGTACAAATGGTCACAACCAAGTAATTCTTAGAGTCCATCTGCAGCTAATTCATTATAAGTTTTCTGTCATTTCTCTTCTTTCTAGCCTTTGACAAAAGAAGTTCTTTACTGTCACCTAAGAAAGCCGTTTAAACTAGGAAGAAACATATATGGAAAGTCATCTCTGCACTTTAACAATATAGATGTAAAGTTAATTTCCTCATATCTAAATCAGCTGAAGCTGCACTGTCTGCAACTGGCCAGTTGTTGGCTTACTCCTTCATTGGTAGCTCCAGGCTAGCAAATAATGAACTAAGTGATAGCCTTTAGGCATATAAGTGCATGTCCCATGTTTATCAGAGAGTCAGAGATTCTTCAGTGAGAAATGTTAGTTCTCACTTCATACTGTCTCAAACAACAGCTGTACCTAAATACATCCCCAAAAACTGCTGAAAAAAGAAGCAAAAAGATAGAGAAAATTTACTAAGAAAAGAAAACAAGAAACAATTCTAACAAGCCACTGAAAAACAATAAAAAATACTTCACTAGAACATGTCAAGGAAAACAGAGGGAAGAATAATTTTTTTTTCCATTACAGTTCTCAAAAAGAACAACTTTCTGCACTTCACCATTTTCTTTATTAGAACTTACAGACAATATGAAGCTATTGATATACACTGACCCACTACTGGGTAGAAAACTTCAAACTACAAAAAGACTTCATCAACACAAAACATAACAATTATTTAATATATAATGCTTTTATAAAACAACAGACAGCTGATTTCTGGAACAAAACATTTCAGAGTCCAAATACTTTCACCATTCCAGAAAACTTCTATCTTAAGCACAACTGTGCAAGACAGCAAAGCCTTACCTCCATAAACAATTCCAAACTGTCCTGATCCCAATACCTCATCTGGGAAGATTTGGTATACGGTGCTAATATCCTGTTTATATAAACATAACAAATATTAAGCCCCGAGGATATGGAAACAGAATTTGTATTTCATTTGCTTTTTCTAGTGGGAAGTAGCATACATTTACTACAGTACATTTCAAAATATATTCTCTGCCAAAAAAATTCAAGCTGGTTTTCTTACAAGCCACATTAACTGTAAGTGCTGCAAAAGCTGAAAAATCTTCAACAGGTTCACTGAGAGGGGTGAAATATTCCATTTGTGCCAGAGAGGGAGTCTCATGTCTCACTGTTTCTTAGTGCCTTGATGCAGGCTAAAGCATAAGCTGTTAGCAGATTCATTTGGGACACTCAAAACATCAAATCTTGAGCTCAGTTTTATTTTCCTGATAGTTAACCAGCAGCATATATAAAAAGAGTAAAAGAATGCCTAGGAGTCGAAGATAAAGACTGTCTTGCTTCTTCTTAGGAAACAAATGGACACATCCCTAGCAGGCAATTTTGTGTCAACTACCAGAGCTGTCCCAAAGCTTGCAGGGAATAGTCCCCTTGGTTGCAGGGAATATCTATTTTTCAGCTCTGCCCATGAGACAAAAAACAAGTAGTGTTTACCTTGACCACATGTCCTGTGTCTAACTGTCCTAGCATAAAAGAAGTGTGGAGTTCTTTGTGTATTTGTAACAACACATGCAACTCTTCCTTTGGATAGAATTTAATCTTCGTACAACAGCGAATGTCTAATCTCTCAAAGATGACAGAAAATGGCATATTTATCAAGGCTTGTGGTCATCTTTAAGAAGACAAATTCCATGAAAATAATTTCTATACCTCACTTTTCCACTTGCTAATTAACATCCTGCAAGGATCCATAGTTAAAGTCTGTGTTCAGTGAAATCACCCATACATAATTCTTGCATCTCAAGTAAAGGTGCTATGAAGATGATTTTTGTCAAAAATTAACAAAGCTAATTGTTGAATTTCTACAAAATAAGTGAGAAATGGCTGATGGGAACTCCTCTAACATTCCTCTTTGCAAAACAGATCAATGATTTTGCCAGCTTAATCATAGCATGTCTAGCACCAGCATCCAGAGAACACTCACCACATTTTCTTGAACTTGGCAGTTTGACACAGAAATACTGATGGATATATCCCCTGGGGAAGAAAGCAAAATATACTTTAGATTGCTGTGCTTTTAGTTCAAACATGTAGTAATAGAAAATGACATTCACATTACATCAGTATCTACTGACAGCTCTAGAAATTGTACCAATTAGGTCAGCTTGTTCATCTACCAGCTAATATAAAATTACACCAGCCCACAAACACATGACTTGAACAACAGTTTTGCAGTGTAGGGAAAAAACCAGAATTATACATTTCATTATTAATTTTTTAATACTGGATTCTCATTTATAAGCTCCTTCTTATTGCTTTTTCCATTCTATTTTGAGGTTTTGTACCTCAAGGAAGTAACAACTGCAACTAGAGTAAACTGTTTTTATTTAGTTGATTTAATTATAATTTTTATTTACAGAGTCACCTACAATGTATTTGATGCTATTCTGATGAAGGCAAATACACATTCAAATTAGACTGCATACTGCTACAAATAATACATATTTCAACTGCCTTAACAGACATTATTAAACAGCATAATGGAAACAAAGTCTTGCACTTGTGCTTTAATACACCAAACATTAGATCCTACCTCTACCAATTCAGAGCTTAGGATGTTGTCATAAGCATTTTGAACTGCAAACCTACTGAGGGGTTCAGTAAAAACTGAGAATGTATCTACTGCTAACTGTTATACACAAAGACCAAACTTTGGGGAGGAAAGAATGCTTCTTTGTGGCATTGCCACTTCTGTCTCCTATGTAGAATCCTGTTCATGTTGACTTTCACTTTCTTAGTAAAAATTTCAGCCTTATCAAAACCAGTGGCCCCTTACTATAAATCCTGTATAACACAATGAAGGCACTCGCTACTACCCATCAGCACCAATCCTGTTGCAGTAAGTAACATGAGTAACTTCTGCTTCATGTAGCTTATTCCCTTTCCTTAGGAAGAGACTGGTTTTGGAATGGAATGTTTCAGTTACCTAGAGGATTTATTTTCAAATGTATGTACTGTTGTGTTTACATGAAAAAAAGCATGGACAAAGACATAGCCAAGTCTTACTTTGAGCAAAAGACAGAAGGTTGTTATCATTCCCACTTTCCACAGGAAATTGTTTTAAAGATCTCAGACAACCTTACTTTTTGCATATATAACCCAAAAATAACTACTAACTTGCAAAAAACATTTTTCAAACTTCCCAAGAGGGAGAGAAGACAGCTGTCATGCCCAGCCCAGCATTTCAGGTGATTTGTTCAGCTATGCTCTGCTCAAACCAGGGCCACTAGGCAACTAGTCTGATGGAAATGACATACAGAATTTGACACTATTTTATGCAAGATCCTAGTAGAGAAAGCAAAGGACATTGCCCATCTTGCCTGTTATGTGAGTTGTTGTGCCTGGAGATGCAAAGCCACAGGCTGTCATATTACTTGGTTTCCGAAGGGCTTGTGGTCTCATTAGCATTTTGTGCTGCATTAATAGCATCCAGATGTCAAGTGCTAAAGCGGGTGCATATTGCAACAAAAGGTCTAGTCCAAATTGTGTAGACATATCCAAGTTCACTTTACACTGACTAGGCTGAGCAGAAGTAACAGAGCAGCCACAGCAGCACGTGCCTAGCAGTGAGGAATTGTTTGCTCTGTGCTACTTTATTATCAGTACTCAAGCTACATTTAAACAAGCTTCATGTTTGGTTTACATAAACTGTCAACTTTGCTAAAGAATTACACAAAGGTATGTAAATTGGAGGCAATGGCATATTCATCCTTTTGTTCCTGGGTATCACACATGCCTTTTGCTTAGAATAGCTGTTCTTCACACTTGAGCTCTTTTCATCTCAGCATGGGACAATGTTTCAGGCAATTGTACAGCCAAATGTGATGACAGGGACCATATCATCTATGCTGCAGTGACCTAAAGGGTGAAGAGCTGCTTCTGCAGACAGTTAGAAATAACAATTATCAGTCAGCGAAAAGATCTATCAGTTCCAAACTGGAGCTCCAAAGACTTAATCCCTCTGAACAAGGAAGCTGTTTCTCACATCAGCAATACAAATTTGAATCAGATGCCTTACTAATATCATAACTATCTGCTCACTAACAAATCTGCACCCTGTATTAATACAGATGTCCTACTATAAACCGAAAACACATGGATGAGAAACAGTGGTGTCTAAATAATACGCAGACAAGTAATAAGCCATGACAGGATAGCCTTTACCAGCTGTGCAATACATCCTTTCAATGTGTGCAGAAGACTGAGCATGTCATTTGTGGTATAACTTTATTCATCTGAAATGGAGGAAATGAATAAACTTACTGTGCAGGCTGGGTCCTGACCCAGTCGATGCCCCTTTAGGGATGACAGGCATCAGGGCGTGCTGTATTGCCATCTCCCACATTCGTGCCACGTCGATGCCAATACCACTGCTGATAACACTGTTATTCAGTGGAACACTTGAGAGGTTTTCTATGTTTTCTCCAACATAATAGACTATATTTGCTGTGCTTATTTCAAAACAGTGAGGATTGGCCCCTTGAGGCAGCAAAGTGAAAGTTTTTGCAGGTTCCAGAGACAAAATTTCAGACAATGGGATTTCCTAAAATGAAGAAAGTATTTTACTTCCTGTGTAAAGATTATCAACATAGAAAATTAAAGCTTGAACTTTATTTAAGTAATTGATGATATTAGCCATTGTGTTTTACCACATGCTCCTTCTACAAACAAAAAGGCTCTTGTAACCTGAAACTGTGACTCAGAGGACTGTTGATGGTAAAGTACTAAAGGTTTCTTTCCAAGACCAAGTAGAACTTTGATTACTTAATTGAACTGATCAAAGAGAGTAGTGAGGTTCCTTCAGAAAAAAGGCAAGATCATGCAGATACTAACAGAACTCTATTAGAAAATAAAACCCTGTTGAGTTCTTGTATAAAACCTTTCCATTTCCACAACATCTGTTTTACAGGTCCTTGATAGCTGACATCTTTCTGATCAGAGATTTGCTTGTGAAAAGCAAAATACATATATGTAGCTTAAATAATTAAAAAACCCCATTGATAGAAGTTATACTACTAGTTTACTTTTAGTAAGTATGAATTTAGCAATTCAGTCTTTGTATTTCTCTGGTAAAAAAAGAGATTGAAAAATATTCCTTACTTTATAATATTTGCTTCCAGTATCATTTTGAAAAAGTGTAATGCATTTGCTGTCCAGTCTCCAGTAGTGTCGCTTTCTCTGCAACAAAAAAAACAAGTGAAAAATAGTTCTAGCACTTTCCAAGTAAATTAATGAAATTTTCATTTCTCAAGAACACCACTGCCAAACTGTTTCACTTTAGTTTGAAGAGGTGTATTGTGAACAACAAAGATTCATTTGCTATTACAAGACTTTAATGAAGACTTCATAACTGAATTTAAGATTTATAGGGCCATGCTCTTTTTCTTTCGGTAATAGCTCTGCTAAAATTGTACAAGTTTTAAAAATCTAAAATGTCATTTCCATGTCTGCATTACATTCAGCACAATTTGCTACCAGTATGCTCCCAGTTCATTTTTGAAGGTCATATATTAAAGGCTTTAATCCTGTTTCAGCAAGTCGGAATGAAAATGGCTTTTTTCTACGCTACACCTACTTTACAAAAGTCTCAAGTCAGCTAGCAGTATCTGTGAGACAGCAGCTGAAAGGTAAAAGCTACTTTACAGAAGTCTTAATGTGTTAACATTACGTTTTACTTCCTTCAGCATGTCTTTACATTTGGCTTCCTATAATGCAACAGACATATTCAATTGGTTTTTTGTATGTTTTAACTGTCTCCTGTTCTTATAAGCAGTACCAGTTCTTAGATATGATGAGAGTTGGGACCTTAGGAATCACAAAACTGCAAAAAATGCCTCACATGAGTGATGGTAAATTATCAGTGTATTGTTAGAATTTGAATCTGTGCAGTCATATAGTATGTACAGTAAGACAGGTCTTCCTTAACATTTCTTACCAGTGTGTCCTTGCTTGTATAGTGAACCATCCAACCCTCCTTCATTACTGTGCTACTTCTCCTTTTTGTGTGTTTCACAGACTGTACGATTCTCATTAATGGAATATTGTTGCTGGTTGAAGGGCTTAAGAATAAATCATTAAAGGCTTTTAAAAAGAAAAAAACTTTGGACAAAAAGAAAAAAACTCTTTTAAAACAGAATATATATATATATATATATATACATACACACACACACACACATACACACTATCCACATTTATTTTTATAATTGCTAGCAGACCAGGACTGCACACTATTTTGTTTTGCCATTCCAAGTATTATGAACATGAAATATTATGAAGAAAAATTATTGCAATGCTACACCATGAGAATGTCAGAGACCATATGAAGGCTTACACACACTCTTCCAAAAATATTCCTTAAGATGAGCTAAGAAAATGGGCAAATGACTAGGGGCTCAGCTAGGCTATGGGAGCCATAGCTCAAGCCTGTGCTATGTATGATTCAGACCAGTACTTGATCTTGAATCTCTCATAACCTTAGTAAACACTGTCCATTAGTTTACTGTCCTGGGATCTTCCTTGGGTTCAAACACACAATGGAGTGATGGCAATTTACAGAGTAGAAAACGTGTCAGCTGCCCAGCTGCACATGCCCTGGTCGGGCACAGCAGAGAATCTGCTGAACCTCTCAGAGGAAGAGGTTTAAGCTAACACAATTTACCCATAAAGACTTAAACTGAAACCCTACGGCCTTGCCCTGTGGGGTACGCACACTGCAACTTTCCCCCACTCAGCTGAGTTACTTACACACAGTAGGTCGGGGAGGCAGGGAACGTGACAGTGTGTCTGACAGCACCGTCACACAAAAACTGGTAGTAACCAGACTCAAGGAAACCCATCTTCCTTGCTGTTAGAGTTAACAATTCCTAAAGCAGGTTCTGTTTAGTGGAATATGGACTCAATCTACTTCAATCCAAAACATGAATGCTTAGTTATTTCTGGCAGAACTTTAAACAGTGATGTTGTATTGTATGTGAATACACAGTACATAAAGAGCTCATGTATTTTGCCCCGCTGCCAAAGCTATCAGTGCAACAACTCCAACAAAAAAAAGGTTGAAACTGCTCAGGAAAAGAATAATATGTTAAGTTTCCACAGTTGTTGTGACTATGGATGTCTGCAGATGGCCCTGCTTCACTGTAATGCATCCTGGAAACAAGAAACCTTTTATGAATTGGTAGTTTTTCCATCAAAATGCAAAAAGTGTGCTGTCTTAAATGTGTCATTAAGTCTGTAACATACAGTTAACATCTCTTTTTTGCCTAAAAATGATCAAACTATCTGCAGTTCCTATTTAACTGTTCTTGTCTGTAATGACAAAAGGTTTACTTTTTATTTGTCTTTTATAGATCACTTAAAAATATCCATTCATATGGAAACTACCCTTAGAAATAACTGGGGGAAGGTATTACTGGAAATACAGGAATGTCCCTCAAATACTAAAATGTGTTCCTTAATTATGAATTTTTATTAGTAGAACTGGGCATCTTTATTTTAAAAACCTGTAATACTGTCCATTTAATACAGCTTGGATGTTTAAAATGTTCTATGACATTGATTTTGGGATATATGCACAGGTTTACATTCCAATAATAACAAGATTGTGTACAAATCATGTCTATGCAAATAAATATGACAGTAGTTCACTGCCACAGGAAGTAAAACTGCGTATTGTTGAAATGTATTGCTTTCTATTAGTGCAACAGATGTATGATAGTAACAGAGAATTAAGGAGAACATGTTACTGAAAGAGACTCCAAGTAAGCAAACTAAAAGAGGAAATTTCAGGTCAAACAGACCTGTGAAAGAAAAATATTCTTTCGTTCTTAAAGGTCTAGATCCCTTGCATCAAGGAAATTACAGATGATATTACCTTAATTCATTTTAGGTTCTGTGACAATGAATAATCCCTACTTTTTCACTACTATTCACACAGTCCCATTAAGCGAATAATGCTTTTTTCTCTTCAGACATTTCTGAGGAATGCTTCATAACTCAATTCCTATTGTCCTTCCCGAGAAATCATTTCAATGCACTGATCTATTTTGTAACTTCCTTCTAATTACTGCTTCAAGTTTGTCAAACTTTCCTTTTTTCTAAAGGCATCTAAAAATACAAACAAACAATTCATCTAGATCTGATATACAACACCCACTTGCACAAATTTTTTTGTTGTTTATTTAAACAATCAGGCACTGTGCTATTAGTCAGGGTCAAGATGCTTTGGAAAATAAATCAGTAAAAAATAAATGAAAAAAAATTTACTATTGCTCATGCACAAATAGTTTCATGTCATTTTCATATGAGAATAGACCTGTAGAAACTATTTGTCCATCAGTTTTCAAGTGCTACTTCACCATGACAATAATTTCCAAGCTTCTCTTAAACTACTAATGCATATAATCAGTGAAGCAATCTCACTGAAATTACAGAACCACCACATATCACTAGTACTCTCCAAGCCCACGTAGATTCCCCCTTGATCCCTAGACACAATACTTACAAATAAACACAAAAGAAGATGGAAGGTACACTCACTCCTCAGCTCACCTGATCATCCTGTTGGATTCATCATGATCCAGATCAGCATCTTGCATTTCCCCGTTGTCACTATGGCATCCTGTCATGGACATCTCTGAATCCTGAGCCATAGATTCTTCCATGTCATCTATAAAACCACTGTTTCTTTCACTGTCATTGTCATCACTCCCTTCTTCCATGACCACATCAGACTCAGCCCCAGGACTAAGAAGATCTGCAATATCATTTCTCAAGTTATTATCTGAAAACGTACAATACTCTGATCACAACATCCTGGCATATTTTAAGCTTCTAAAAAACTCAGGTTCTCCTTGGAATTCTATTGCCTGTATCCATCTCTACTCAGCACATTTGTGTACTGGTGAAATGTGGCATTTAACCAGTCATTTAAAAAATCACAACAGAAAACTGAAAAAGCATCAAAGAAAATATTTTCAGAAATACAACTTTTTAATAAAAAATGCTAAAGTCAAAGCAGAATTTCTTATCCGTGGACTTCTACTGAAGATTCTATACTCATGAGCTTTATTGCTGAGATCTTCTGGCAGATTTTCTATTCAGCTTAAATGTTGTGTACTGGCTTGATGGTTGTTGACAGGCTCCAGCTGCAAAATGATGCTGGAAGCATTTCAAAACTAAAAATTTTGTAATATGATGATATGACAGTGAACTACTGAAATAACTCCCAAGACAACTACTTGTGTGAACTATGTGTTCCTTTGCACCAGGGTTTTCTGTGAAGCCTACACAAACTGGCTAAGTAGTAATGATTACTACTGAAATAGTAGTACTGATTACTACTACCCTGCCTTTAGAAAAAAAATATTAAATAAGCATGAAAATCAAAGATTTAACATATTTTACTATGGTGTAGTATTAATACCATCCTCCACCTTAAATTATATTAAACTTTCCAGTTTCAAAATTAGACATGCCTAGGCAAGATCATAGTAAGAAACAACTTTGCTGCTAGTGAATGGAATACAAAATGGAATACATTGCTGCTTTGTATCTGGAATACAAAAAGGAACAGAAAAAAAAAGTATTTACCTAAAGATTTATATTACAAAGAACCAAACAAACATCTTCCCTAAAAAAACCTCAAAATAAAAGAGCCATTTTGTTGAAACTCCACTCTACACAGGCTGTGATCTAACATGCCAAAATCATCAGTCCAGTCAGAGAGTAATGACAGCATTAGTTTTTCTGGGATGTTGTGGTGTTTCAGAAATTTGAAGTAAGGTTAAAATCACATGAAACATCAAACAGTCTCCCCTAGAAACTTTTGCCTAATTAAGCAGAGGAAGGTTCTTGACAGTCAGTGTAGGCAATGTCCCATAAGTAAAAAGCGCATTAAATTAGTTGATTTGGAATTGATGGCATTTCACTGAAATTTGAAGGGCACAGCTGAAAGGTTTGTTTTCATGTACAGTAGTCTTAAGATATTTGGACATAAATTACTGATGTGTGATTAAGAGACACATTATATTTCATGGCTAGCAGAAGTCATTCAGTCATTCACTGCAAAGTTCTCTCTTTGCTATTCCTACAACACTTTTAAGAATCTCTATTTTTAATAAACATACAATCAGTTAAAAATAACTCCCTACATTTAGTATATAATGTGTTTACTAATGGCACCATACTTGGAATTTTATTGCTTCAGCTCTTCCTTCACTTACTATTTTGGGGAAGATTTATCACACAGCAGATGGACAGTGACAGATACTGTTTTTATTTATTAAGTTTGAAAATAATGTGGATCAAATTACTGTGAAAACAGAAATGCGATACAGGATGAAACTGCCTTTGATAATCCCCAGAACTCTGTATCAGTCGTTTAAGGCACATAATTAAGAGTTCTACTGTGATCCTACAGACACATACTATGGATATTAGTGGGTGTATAAAGGCCAAATTCTATAAATGAGAGCTTCAAGGAGTATACTTGGAGTAAGCCTAGAGTACATATTCTCACCCCAAGTGACTTTGCACAAGCTTTCTTCAAACTATCACTTCTCATCAGCTCAGCATCAGGTTCATGTGCAGGACGTAAGTCCAAACAAAAGGAGCATGTTGTTTGTGAAGCAAAGGTGGGAAGAGGGCATAGAGGGTGTGCTGGAAGCATGAAATACAGCTGCCTCAGGTGGAAAGAGGGAACTTGGAGGAGTAATTCAGAAACAAATGTAAATTTTGTTCATTTAGTCTAGCTGTGCAGAAACAAAGTTTACCTTCCTTCCCGTCTTCTCATAGCACTTTAGATCAATTATTCCTCTCTAAAACTGCATTTATGCAGGAAAAAAATTATCACTTGCAAGTAGATTTAGTTACTTTCTCTGACTGGAAATCTCAGGGAAACTCTACACTGTTATCAATGGAATGAATTAACATGTCATGGTGCATATTTAGTTCTTTGATTTGAAAATCAAGCCACAAACTTCCATAAGCATCATCACTTGCTCTCCTAAAGAAAAAGTGGTATTGTGGGATGGTTAACGCTTAAATGAGGTATAAATGGTGAAAGATTAAAAAAAAAAAAAAAAAATAATAGTGACTCCAAGAGTCCAGTGTGAGGTGCATCAGAGAGGACATGCAGTAGGAGTAAATCAACTTTGCAGAAAATCATGCACCTTATCACATTTCAAATGGGATACTCAGTATCTGTAGTAATTTTGCCATTAAACATAAACGCTCTGTAGTGATACAGTCACACTACTATGAGAAATACTATGAAAAATATTAATTCACATTCCTAATTTTGGAATTTCTTGGTATGTCTTCAGTAAAGTAGATCACTTGCCTCACAAGGCAATACCTTATTAATCTCAGAAGCAGTTTAGGCTGACAACTTAACACAGTAATATGCATTAGAAACTGAACACTTCACCACACTTCTCATTCCCTTATCACATAGAAAAGTGACATTTTCAAGGCAATCAACAACTCATCTACAACCACCCTTTTTTTTCTCCAGTACCGTCTGTTGAGCCTACCCATACACCCCTATACTTAACACCAAACCAACAGCACATGCATGGGAAAATCAGCAGATAGTCAAGCCTTTATTTCTGGCAATGGATATGATTAGTTTTATGCCAACAGCAAGAGGTGGAATTTTTCCCTGGAGGGCATTCCCAGTTCTTCTAGATATCCTTTTCCTTCTCAGGAGGATTATCCTTAACCACCGTTTCCCCCCCCCCCTCAGATTAAAAGGCAATTTTGTGCTTCTATCTGACAGGTAAATGCCAACTTCTCTCACGTGTGACTTTCTTCTGGTGTTCCGCATTCAACAGGCTATCTGCATTCAATCCAGCTTTTTGCTGCTGACATCACCTCTGTGGCAAGTCACATCTTTACATTTCTCTTTTATTTAGCTAATGGTTTAAACAATGACAGGAACAACTATGAAGACAACTTACCCCCATTAATGGCAACTTCCCCCAGGCAGTTATTTGGCACTTTAGGAGCACAGCGTTTGTGACAGTTGAACCTACAGTCTGTTAAGTAAACAATAGACACAGTAAGATTATTTTTCTGTGACACAGTTATATTTTTTCCTGCTATCCAGCCTGGAGATGGCAAACCCTATAATTTCATTAACACAAGTTACATCTCCAAAGAGAGTGCACTAGCCTGGCTGCACGCTGCCTGTCAGTGGAAGGAGCAGAATGAAGATTCTAGAAGCATGTTTCCCTCAGGCGAAAAAAAAGCATTTCCAAGGATAGCTGGGTGGAGGTACTACTGCAGCCAAAGCATGTGCTCAACACATCTAGGGAAGTGATGGGGAGACCCAAGTGTTTGGCTGTAAAGCCAGAGCTGCTTTTCCAGTGAAAGAAGCAGATTGGGCAGTAGCGCATCCGCTGCAGCTTATGAGACTGACTACATATCAAACATCGATGACTGAAAATTGAAACAGGAGAAACCCAGCCAACAATTTAAAGTGAGAAAATATTTGTTCTTTACATCTCAAAGCAACTTCTAGACAGCTTGCAACTGAGGGTTCCTTCAATCCCTTCCCTGTTTTCCAGATATTTTTATTTCACTCTACTTCTTTCATCTGTGTAAGTAGCACTTCATTACATGTCATGTTAACTGTTCTCTTTTGGCTTATGAACATATTTAACTTAAACTAAGAGCTGGAACTTACTAACACACCCGTAAAAGACTCAGAAAGGAAAAAATAGGTTTTCTATATACTCATAATTATTTAACTTTAAGACTGATCCAAAAAACAACCGAGGTACAGTAGTGCCAAACTACAGGTAATTTTTTTTTTTTAATCAGGTTAATATTTGCTCAGGTCACAAGGATTCAAAATGAACTGAAACAGGTGATGTCCTTATAGAGATTTTGCTTTAGTTAAACTGAATCAGAATCACACCTTAAATGAATGCAGCTTTGAATTTCTGCAGGGTTCAAAGAAGCAACACTAAGTATACTGATTAATTGTATCATAATTATTGTTTATTTTATTGAAAGAAAGGTGATTTTAAGGATCTAATATCCAACATTAACTAACACCATAGAATGAACATTACTTTGTATTCACAGGCACTCTAGCTGGCTAATATGAGCCAGCAATCTAGGCTACAATCCAAAGGGTCTGACTCACTTCGGCATCTACTAAGGTACAACACCATGGAGATTTCAGAGCACATTAGTCACACTGAAAAAAATGTGGGTTTAAATTCCCATATAGCCAATCTTATTTTATTTCCATTACAACTTCCCCAAAACCCTGAACTGCTGGGACTCTGGTATACACTTCAATTCACACATAAGACCTTTTAGATTGAAAACAATGAAGATAAGAATACAGTCCTTTGTGTTAACTATTCAGCTGTAAGCACAGGCTCACCTAGAGCCAAATACAAGATAATCTACACCTCAATGAAACATGCAGACTACTGCAGATACACCAAAGGGTAAGAATGAACAGCCATGCAGCCAGCTCCTGCAGAATACCAATTACTGTAATTTTGACTCCAGCTTAATCCAATGTAATTGTACATGTGCCTACACCCAGATAGTTTAGTGGGGAAATCATGAATAAGACTACATAGTAACTACTCAAACACTAATTTATTAATTTCATTATGCTTAGCTTTTATGTTCCTAAAGGATATTTACTTACCTTTGCACTGCAAACCCTGTCTAAAAAGCCCTTTGAGAAGCTTCTTGCAGTACTGGCAAACTGTTGGACGTGTGTAAGAGTGGATGACAAAAGTGTGAGGAACTTTAACCTTAGATAGTAAAATCTTGTCTAGTTGAATAGGTCGTCCAATGTAAGACTGTGAATTTGACCTCTTCTCTCGCCCAGTGAATGATTCTGACGGTGTCTTTTGCTGTGAAATACATAAAAATAATTGTATTCATTTTTAAAAGAATATCATATTCATATATTCAGTCACTTTAGGAACACTAAGTCTTATGTCAGAAAAAGTCATGTAAGTGTCTTTAAGCACTAACAGAACATGCATCATTCCCCTCTCAGACTGCTTTTGAAAAATTTGAATGGTACTGAACAACAGTTTTGCCAATGCTACCATCATATGTTTTGTATTGTGACCGAAACAGGTTTTTAATTGAAAGAATAAATGTTTTTTAAGCAAAATGAAAATACTCAACAAAAATTTCTCAGAAAAGCATTTTGTATTGTAATAAAAACACAAGCCATTTTTTCCTCTATTATTTTCTGTTTTACATCAAATGTAACTTTGAAAGGTTTTATTTTTTGTATAAACATTAAGAAAATTATTTCTTTATTCTATGTGCATGCAGCTTTTTTATAGAAAAAAGATTAGCATTTTCTATCCCTTTTATTTATAATATTTGCTATCACTAACCTTGCCACATTTAGATAATGTACAGTTGTTTACAATAGGTATTTAAATGCATATATATATATAAAAATATGTATGAAGTGAGACACTCAGTAAGGTATGGAATCCAAAGAATTACTCCTGGAAGAAAAGAATTACCTTATTTTCTCTACTAAATTCATTTAGATGTACAAATGTTAATTACCCCAGAAAACAACTCACCCAGAAAACTGCTTTCCCCTAATACTTGCCCTTGAGAAACAACCAAACTACACCCACAATTAACATGGAAAGGAGAAAAAAAGGGAGAAGATGCAGCTTGATCATTTAAAACTCGGCATCTTCTGACCATCATCTGCAAATAATCTGATAACTCAAGCCTAGAAATCAAGTCATTCACGATGAGCCTGCACTGTTCAAAAACTATAGCAGCTGAAACTTAAGATAGACCTAACCTGAAAAACAGCTTAGTTTCAAACAAATAATGTTACAACCGAGAAGGCTGATTTGTTACTATTCCCTGGTCAACAAAATATAGAAATACATTTTTGTATGCTTCTGAGAATCTCGGAATAATTGCAGAAGAATCTAAGGAGTTCCAGCCTTTGCCTTCATAGTGTATGGGCCATGGGGAAAAAAACAAAATTCTTCCTTAAAAGTACAGATATATTTCTTGCTGTGAAGATAAATTCTTTTGCTTATACTGTAGAACTGTCTTTCCAAAGAAGCATATAGATGTATTGTATAAGTGCAGTCCTTTCAAATCAAGGAAAAATATGTAAAATACATTATATGAGCCGGGTACGTATGGTCATCAAAAACAAACTAGATTGAAACAACTATAGGAAAGCATGTGCCTTTTCCTTATCAAAAATAATAGTGGGAAAAGTATGAGTATGTACTTTGATATTATGTATTTACTTCCTGAGGTTTAAATCTTCACTCTGCAAAGTACTTATGCATACAAAATAACCCAAACAACAAACTAGTCTCAATTTAATATTAAATTTATTCACAATCTGTGAGCTAGCAATAAAGTTTGCTGAACATTTCCACTGCAGATTACATTAAGTCTTATGAAATCAATATGAACAGGACTGTAAAAGGGAGGACAAAAGACCATCAAGACTGAAGAATCAGCCACAAATATACTGCACAAACTGCACTGCTCAGCTACTGTGAGCCACCTGGAAATTACAGCCCTCAGTATTTGTGGACAGGGTAAAGCTCGCAATTGGAGCAAGAAATAGCAGTGTGGCCCTCTCAGTCTTATGCTTGTGTAGAACAGGAACAACCTTGGCCAGACTGATGTTACACCATGTAAACACACTAGCAATTCTTAATTTACAGTGCCTTCAGGCCAAGAGGTGAAGTTGAATTTCACCTTCTCCCATGCTAGCAGAAACAGCATTCATGGATCTGGTCTCACTCCTGCATGCCCAGGCCTGATAAAACTGACTCCACTCCCTACCTCTTCCAGCTGGAGACAATGTGCCCTTCTGCTCCTGCTCAGAGGTAGCAGGGGAAGGAGGCTGGTGACAGAGAACTCATGGTGGTAGCAATCTGAGCATCTTCCACATCCCTCTGATTACTGACTGATTAGAGAAATACCTCCTCCCCCTTGTCAGATGAGCTTCTCCTCTCAATATCCTCCAAAACTCCTGTCAATATCCCTCAACTCTTAACTTCCACCACTCCCAGCATCAGACAGATGCCACAGGTTGAAGTCCCTGAAAGCAAAGAAAACCAGGAACTATCCTATTTTCACTGCAAAAGCAAGAATCTCTTCCAAAAAGCACCTTCTTCTTCAGCTGGTATGCCTGGTTTGTTAGAAAGATGAGTTTTTCCTGGTAGTCAGCCAGACTACTGACTCAGCAAGTCTGGAAACTTCCCAGGAAATGATTGCTTAACCAGATTACACCATGGAAACTAACAGCCTGCATGGCTCCAAATACTAAACAGTCCTTTCGAACAATCAGCCCAGCAAGGTAATCTATATTTTAGCAGCTCAGAGTATGATTTTCCAAGTGACAACAAACACCAAGAAACATGTGCACATACTTAACTGTCCAGCCAAGCCAATGAAACTGATCACATCCAGATACTTCAATTCAATTATGCCTTAAACTATGAGAATATCTAATAGAATCCAGTTTGCTGACACTTTTTTGGAAAAAAAAAAAAGTTTTGTTTTTTTAAGTTCAAGAAGGGAGAGGTGCCAAGCTTTTTCCACACATAGGGCATTCCTCATGACTTATTTAGCTGATGCCTTGCCCCTCTTCTTGTTCAGTCTTCTTGAATTTTTGGAATATACTGAAGCTACCCATGTGAGTTCTGGTGAGCTTTGTTGAAAGCTATGAGAGGACACAACAATCTGATCACATTAGCTAGAAGCATAAAATCATTGTACAGAACGCTGTCATTGCAGGAAGAAGACACTCTCCCAAGGCTAAAAATAGCTCAGCAGACCTTTTCTACCTTGTCAAAATTCACTGCAAAATACAATTAAGAAACTGAAATAAATACCAATTCCCTGCCAATGGATTCAGCTGTTCTTACTACCTGGGTGAGTCTGACTGTCTTCTAGTATCACACCTGTTCCTCCCAAGCACAGAAATCAAAGAACCTTTACGGAGATGCTGAAGGGACTAATGGGAAGCAATAAAAGCTGACTGCTTGGACACAAGAGTTGGCCTCTCGGGAACAAAGACAAGGACTGACCCTGCAAATCAGCTGCACGGGCTAGTCTAAAACATAAAAGAGACTGCTGTTTGCCTGACTTATTTTAAAAGATTTTGACAGTCTCACTAAAAATGTCCCAGGGATTCTGACAAAACTTTAGCAAAAAACTTCATGTTCTACAAGAGTCAGAAAGCAACTACTTCCATTTTGACAATCACACTTGCGGAAACACGTTCAAGTCAGTAACCTTCACTCAGAAGAGAACAGGCTACACAACCTATAATCTCCTAAATATATAATTTTTCAAAACTGTTAAAAAAAAGTGCTAACCTTTTGCAGGCTCAATATCTAAAAACTATTGCAACACTGTTCCTGTGTTTTACACTGAGATATTCAATCAGAAAGAACACAGGTATTCCTACAATTTTAAAATGTTTGCCTTAACAAAAGAACAAATTATCATCAGCTAGGGTTTTTTATTTACTTGAAAAACTGAGAAAAGTGATGGATATTTCAAAAAAACCAAACAGCAACAACTGTTTGCATGAAGTTTCATTTTCAGTGTTGAAGCAGACTTGTTGAAACATGCATATCCTTCCTATATTAAAGGCAGAGGATTAAGCCTTAATATGTTCATACACAATTTCTTCACAGGAAGCTACTGTCAAATGAGGTGCTAGATATCTATGTAACCACAGGAACTCTATGTTTTTAATGCAATGCAAATGTTGACTTTCTTTGACAAATTAAACTATGTGACTGTAATTAAGTGAATTCAAGGAAACAAATCTTCAGTTAAATATACTGAAATACCACACTTAGACTGCAATCAACTGTGTTGTCTTTTGAGGCTTCTTGCACTCTTCTCTTTAAGTCAAGTGTATGATTTAATCCTACAAGCACCACAGTCAGATAGCTATGGTCTGAAAAACATTTCACTTTCACATATGTAAACACATCAAAGAACTGCCTTCAGTAGAAGCTGTTAATATTAAACTATCCACAGATGGAAATTATTATGTACGCTGCACTTCCATGTAGACATCAATACCAGCAGACAGTGGTTTGAATGCTCTGTCTGTAACTTGCCTTATTTTGGAAAGCAGCAAGAGAAGATTACTTGGTTGCAGCAGTCATTGTGTGACTATGCTGACTTGCCAGAATCAGGGAATTCCCGAAACAAAAGCCCTTTCTTGGCAAAGGATTTGCTAGTACCAGCAGGCATAGTAAGACTTACATAGCACAAAGCTTTTTCCAGCATCTTAGAGACACAGTTTCCTTTGAAACTGCAAGGTTTAGTTTGATCTTCCAACATGTACTTCATAATTTTAAGTATATTGTGTATATATATGTATATATATATAACATATATGTATATATGTAATTAATAAATTATTTTCACGTAAGTATCTTGCATTATTAGAACCCCCACATCAGAAGTCAGACTCAGCAGCTTGATTGTGCCTAATGCACAGAAATAATAAGAAGGGGAAAAAAGATACAAAGATATACCTTTGTATCACAACCAAATGAGACAATACAATTATTCAATACAATGATTCCATACAACACCCTCTTACTCATCCTATCTTATACAAATATTGCCTTTCTCCCCCTGATGTCCGTATAAATGCATCCCAGCTGACACTGCATACCATCCTTACCAACTTAGGGATAATCAGCAGGTCTTTGGGCTTAACCACAGACACTGGTTTGGAAAGTTTTGGCATTGGACAGAGGAGATCTAGACAAATGTGCTTGGTGAGGCTTGTCTATAAAGTAACTCTGGGGGCAGTAGGATGTTACCAATTCAGAAAAACAAGATTATATACTGGAAGGAAAGCACCACTGAACATATTCAGGCAATAATAATGGAGATAAAACCTTGCATTGATTGCCACTATTCCTCAAAACACAAACAGCATTTAGTGATCTTGTACCAATTCACAAGACCCAGACCAAACATGAATGATATCTCAGAGATACTACAGGGAAGTAAAATGTGTGCTGCAGTGTTTGCCCATTTTTGGTCTAGTACTTAGAAACTTTAAGAACTTAGTTCTGAGTGTATGTTTCCTTAGATGTACTACACACTCCTAAAAAAATTCCTATTGCTACAGTCACAGAGCATCTACAAATCCCCAGTTTAAGCCATGGTGACTTAGATGAAGGGTCATAAACTGACAACTATTATATGTCTTTCCTAAAAACAAAATAAGTGATTTAAGAACAAGTGGCAATTACCGGAGGACAAAAAACCTGTATCTCTCTCTTCTAAGCTGAAAAGTGAAATACCCATAAAACCTCTCCATGGGATCACTAACAAGTAGTATTCAAAAACATCAGCAGACAGAGCACATATAATAATAATGGCCAATCTTCGCGAGCGAAGATCCGGGGAAGGTCTTTACACCTTCCAGCCTGCGCATTGGATTTTTTAGGTGAGACACAGTGTGCGCGGAACTGAGCCCACCCTTTAATCCTAAGGTTCATCTGCCGGGGCCAAGCGAGCTTGGACGGTGGCAGCGAGGTCCTTAGGACGTAGGTGGGTTGCCTTTAAGGGCTAACGAGCCCCACCTGCACGGGAGTGTCCCTGACCGGGAATCGAACCCGGGTCTCCGCGGTGATAGCGCCGTGCCTTTACCACTAGACCACCAGGGGCTAGACAGAGCACATATAAAACTGCACAATATGTGCATCTTAAGTGGCTTATCATTTTCTCTTCTACCTATCTTCCTGGATATTTAAAAAATATTAGGTGCATGATGGATGCAAATTTCATTTGCTTTCCTAAATATACATCTTGTAATTTGAAATTATTGGCTTGATCATCTTTTCTATCTTATCTACTTGTACTGAACCTCTGAAACAATAATATTGGTGCAAATTTGATCAGAAAAGTGCTAATGTAGATTGAATTAGTCACAAGAAATTCAGTCCTACAGCATTTAGTGCATGGTAGATAGTACTAGGACTAGTGTTATTTTATGGCACAGCCTAAGGTAAGCCATTTCAAACTTACTTTCTGTATCCTGAAGTAATTTAATTCAGGGTTCTGCTGAACTTTGAATATCATAGACATGCAACACTTCAGGAAAAAAGGGAACTACATTTTAAATATGTTTTGTTTATCTGGTTTTGATATTCATCAAGTTTCAATATTTTAAACAGTTGCAAAAAAGCAAAAAAACTAAAAAAAAGCGTCTGATTCACTGAGTTCTCGATTATCAGTTCTGTTCAGTGCATGACCCAAGATTCACCTGGTGGATCTGGCACTAAATCAATGTGAACATTACTTAATATTGTTTTAATTACTCACAGCCTCTATTTTAGCTTCTAATATTTTTAAATGAAGTCTAGATTTTGGAGCAAATTCCAGGAGCACTATCCAAAACAGCATACAGGTTTTTATTAAATATATGAATATGCTGAAAATAAGTTCCCATTAAGACAGAGAGGACTGTGCAGTGTACATCACTGGAGCATGGGAGAATAACTTGAGGGTGACAGAATAAAACACAACTATGAGTGGTATTAATTCATAGTTAACTCGAGTGCCTTCAAGAAAAAATATTAATTTTGCCTCTGAGGATCTTTGGTCTAATGACGCCTACTTTAGCCATTAGAAAAGGACTTCTACTATTTACAAGTGGTTTAAGGCATGAAGATGCTCTCAGCTGCAGCACCCCAGCACTTCTTTAACCCTTCCCTCAAGGGCACTTTTTTCCCAGTTCAGTGATCTGGGGAGGCATACAAGGCTTGATAGAGACTGGAACTGGGAAAAGGAGACACTGCCTTCTGTAGGAGCGTGCGAAAAAAGGGCTTCTTAGAGGGGGTAGTTCTGAGTCACTGGAAACAACAACTCCTTATTTCACTGGTGTAAGAGAAAAGGGCATCTGCATTAAGTGATGGGTGCAAGGGAAGAAAGAGGAAACAGCCACCTACAACTCAAGACAATTCCCTCTTAGAGTCTACTGTCCTAGTTCTGCAGAATCACTCTTCTATATATAGCTAAAAAGCCTCAAGCCAGATCTGCTTATAATCAATCTAGAGAAGCAAGCAACACCTGGTGCTTTGTATTCTGTCAGTGATACATAAACACTCCTTTTAACTAAAACTATTTACATTTTACATTTTAAATTATTTAGCAAATAATAATTATAATTTTTGATTCTTCATCAAAAAGCAAAGATAATATGTAACATTCCACTTACCTATGCCCCATGGGACACATCATTCCTATTTTAAATGCAAAGCTGAGCTAGACTTTTTCTGAGAAATCACTTCTGATGTGTCCATAAAATGACCTTAATATATCAACATTCATTGCTTTTAGAAGAATGAAAAACCTTACCAAAACAATGGAAACATATATTTAAAAAAGAAATAAAATTCTATCCTGTTACATAAATGCATTTTGAAATAAAAACATAGATGGTTAACATATTTTCTTTTCACAGAAGAAACACAATTTTGGTTTTCCTCCAAATACCTTTTTTTCTTTTTTTTCATTACTGCCTTTAGTTACTTCTAATTTAGGGTAATCCACCATCACACAGATTGGTAGATTCATCACTTTTCAGACAGCACACAGTTAGAATAAAATTATCTTAGCTATTACAAAACCCCTGTTTAATATATACCTGTTTGTATTGTTTATGGGTATTCTGTGGAACTGGAATTCTGGGGCATACTACAATAAGAATCTATGTGTTTTAGGAAGACATTAAAACCTCATGCCTGGAAGTTTTCAATGGGGCTTTGAGAAACTGGTCTAGCGGAAGGTGGTCCTGATCATGGTAGGTGAGTTGGAATAAGACAATCTTTAAGGTCCTTTCCAACCCAAACCATTCTACGATTCTATGAAATAAAGTTATTTCTTTCAAAGAGAGAGATGTTTGGCCATGAAAATCTTCACTTCAGCATAACAAAATATTCCTCAGTTTAACTATGTAGTATTTCCAAAATAGAAAACATTTGCAAAGCCTGCTCTTCTCCAGCTGCATTTCAAATACATGTTGCAAGGGAAAGATGCCAACATTTCTTAGTTTCAGAAACTTGAAACATTAAAGGAAAATCAAACGTCTTTAGAAAATCCATACTGAAAATCAAAGAGAACAACCTTTGATATGAAGTATCCACTAAAAAAACTAGCACTGTTTTCTCATTTAGACTTGATAATCTTTTTATATAGAGCTGTAACTTATTTGTAGACTGTTCATGTTTATTTCCACAGAAATAGAGAATCCCAGACTGTTTGGGTTTTTTTAAATGCAACCATAGTCTGAAAAAAAGAGCTACCACAATAGTAGTATGGTATTAGAAGTTTAATACTGGTGAGTACTTGAAGGTTAGGTTTGTTCAGCTTAAAAATAAAATCTTTATTTTCTACATTACTGCAGCAAATTCCCAAGTCAAGTTCAAAAGTCAAGTTCAAATTTTCTTCCCATATGTTACTACCAGTATAAAGTAGGGCTTCAATCTAACCAATGACCTCTGTCATGGCTAAGAAGTGAAGAGGTCACATTTGTTTTGAAATATTTTAATGTTGTTAATTTTACTGTTTAGTAGAAGAATTATGATCCCCACTTTGGAATCCGGACTTTAGTATTCTGATTTAATTCCTGCATTTTTCCACATTCATACTGATAATCCTAAATGAGAATGTTGCAGATAGTACAATAGGGAGTAAATTCAGTACATACCTCATAGCCAGGGCTGACAGGAGACTGAGACAGGAAGTTGGAAAGAAACAAAAAAACGGAACAAAGAATTAAGGGGGAGAAAAAGACAGAAAACAATGTTACTTTAGAAGCAAGCATGAATGTGGAATCATATTATACTCTCATTCTTTGTTATAGAATAGAATGTGGAAGAATTGCATTTGAGCTATGATACGTAAATACTGGGGTTTACCTCATTTTTAGCATTTCTGTTGATGAGTTTCACACTACTAAGTTAAGAATTAAAAAAAGATATTGTCCAAATTTTAGATGTTTTAAGCTGTACTCAAATACAGTCCCCATTCAATTTTCAGCTCAAATGAAATGCTTTATTGGCTAATGAAAACACTTATACCCAAACTGAAACCGTTTCTGTTTTTTAATTATGCAGGGCTAATTAAAGTAAAAGTGTGTTTTGCATGATTCTACATTACTTTGTCTCAAAGCTTTTTCAAATGACACAATTTCATATGATACGTCATAACTTATTCACTTTATAAGTGTCATTTTTCCAGAGGGTAGACTTACATGCTTAATTCAACATTGTGACCTAAAGTTGGCTCCTTTTAGGGGCACACGACATCAACAACAAAAAAAAACTCCTGAGTTTAATAATTACATCTATCAAAGATCTCCAGGAATCTCATCTCTCTCCACTACTTTGACTCTACGTGGTAATTAGGGGTGAAAATATATTTATTTTAGTCCTATTTAAAGAATTGACAGATATCTGATTGAATTCAGTGCTCCTAAACAGAGCTTGTATTTTGTTAGCAGTGATTCAAGTGACACATCAATGTTATAAAGAATGATAAAATTTTGTAAATGAGGACGGTGTTTTTTCAGTATATTCACACAGACTTTAAGAAAATGAAAGAAATTTCAAAGTTCAAGCTTTGCTTGGCACCACTGTATAAACTGCCATAAAACTTATCTCAGAATTACTGCAGAAGAATGGAGTCCAAAGGACAGATCTGATACAGGAGAACTGACAAAGCTTATGCACATGTAAAAAGAGCAGAATGGGGAGAGGGAATTGAAATACATTCAATGCAACAAAACCCCAAAAGGGAACAAAAGACATATAGAACCCATATGTGAGAGCATTTCTGAAAATCTAGTAAATGATACCATGATTTCATGAAATAAAAGTGAAATCAGAAAGCTATTTGATTTCTCTAGGCTAATGTCCATCCCTTTACCTAGTGTAAATATATTTAGTTTGTGCATGCACAGGTGTGCCCATGTGTGATGTTCAGAATCATCAACACAGGTACACCAGTGATTACAAGTCCTTAGAGAAGTATAGCCTGCAGTATAGATGAAACTTACTGTATATCTTCACTGGCAGTTTAATGTTTTCAACCATTTTGCAATACATAGCTTATCCAAACAAGTATTTTATATAAGAATGTATCCGCAAACAACACAGCCATATAATTAAAAATGTTTTCAAATTGAAATTTTTTTGCTACGTTGTAACTGTACAGTGCAGTGAACATTTACAGAGTGTATAGGAACATGCTCACTCATACAACTTTTTAAGCAAAATTTCAGAAAAAAAAATCAGAATTAGGGCCAGCCTATGTAAAAATTTTCTGTCTTGGCCTAAGCAATTTCTGAAACAACCTGTTGAGAATGATGATTAATCTGTAAACATTTGTTGCTGTAGTTTGCAGAACTTAAGCACCTTACTCATTTATGCAGCTTTTAAATTAAAAATACAGATTCATAATGTTAACCTTAATTTCCAAGTAGCTTTAGACTAATGATAATCAGTAGCATAAGTACATAATTATGGTTCGTAGATGGTACTGCATCTAACACCAGGTCTACATAATTTGCAATAGTGTCCTTTTAGTATGTCAAGTTTAATAAGTTTAATATTCTAATTGAGAGGAAAACATGATAATTGTTGTGTGTACTTATAAATTCTTTCCTCTCTTTTAAACCTTAAGGTTTTCAAAACTTTCACTTAGAAGTGGATTCATTTACACGTTGTGTAAAATCTTAACTATTCAAGTATATTATGACCATCAGTGTCATGACAAAGATAAATAATACATATTTTCATCAATTACTCCAGACAACATTTTGTTCCCAGATGAGTTGATTTCATTACAGAAAACAAATAACTTAATGCATATACATGTATACCATATATTGACACGTGCTTGTGTGTATACTGTACATTTATATATACATCTACACACACACACACATCTTTGTACACTGACCACAAAGACCTGTTTAAGGATCTAATGGAGATTTCTCCTATTTTCTTCTGAACACTCAGAAACATGCTAAATACACAGGCTCCAACTAATTAACTATAGCCTCGGCTGTGCCAGATACTCAGTTTGATACTGTGCTGTCTGGGTCACAGTGTTCTAATGCGGCAAACCTCTCCCGTACAATAAACCAAGGGACATAATGGCCCAATACAGAAGAAATTCAACTTCTAGTTCCAGAGAAGTCATTCTCCAAGATACAGCTATTCATGTTAGCATGGATAGCAGTTTCATACCTCAAAAATAACCTAATTCTTGACAAAGGAGGAGACTCTTGGGAGTATGAGAAGTGGCACATACCTCAAATCCACATACCTTAAGGTAGTGACCTCCCTTTTATGTCAAGATGCCTTTTCTCACTTTATAATTTATATACCACCCTCCTCTGTAGTCTATAACAGGCAAAACCAGATTCTATAGCACTAAATATCATTGTTTCTTATCAGCTCCTCCCACAGCCTTTACAGCTAGGGAATCCCATACCAGAAGCACTTCATCCGGCACACTGGGTGAGGGTTCTGCAGAAACTGTACGAACACTGCTGAGTCCTGTTAGGGAGACATTTGACAGGCGTCTTTTCCGTACACCACTGCAGTTGTTTGGGATTTTAAATGCACATCTCTTATGGTAGTTTAGACCACATCCTGAAAAGAGAAATTTAAAACCATCTGATTATGGCTCATTACTGTAAAAAAAGCCAATAATTCTGGACTTTTTCAAAAACAAGAATCCAAAAATACTACCTTTATTTTAGACTAAACTTTTTTCCTCTATTCTGTTCCTATATTCTAACGAATTTTTAGAGAGATAATGTTATCAGTTCCAAATAGTTACATCTACAACAGTGCTTTGTCTTTGATCTTTCAAAACCCATGGTCTCAAAAAGCAGGAAATTTCTTGATCAGCATTTGGGAGGTAAGGAAGTCTTTCACGGCAAACGGTATATTCTACCGGATACAGTCTATCAGAAGTCAAATAGTTGTGGCAAAATGAGAAAACATAACTATTACAACCTCCTATGGACTGACGGTAATTACAGTTAAATAATCTGCATTAATGTGATACAGAATGAGATAAAGACTGAGACTCATAAGGAAAGTAGAGTGAAGAACAGACAGCCTTTTCTTAAAAATACCTATAGACCATTTTTTTTGCACTTCAGGTTACAGAGCCATTTCTAGGAGGCCTCAGAGCAGTCAAAAGGATCAGTTTTTTAATTACTTTGATAGGTCTTACTGTTTCTAACCAATCTAAAAGCAGCATCAGAGACAACATATAGAAACAGAATGGACAAGTCTCTTCTTAAGGCTGAAAAACTGCATCTTGCTGTAGCTTACCTTCACATTTGAGTCCCTGGCGCACCAGCCCCCACAGCATCTCTCCACAATGGTCACAAAAGGCTGGCGCTCGATACGAATGAACAAACAGAGCATGGGGCCGGATTTGAAAGTCTTCAAATGTAGCAGAAGCTGTAACAGCAAGATCATTTAAAAATTAATAGAATTACTAACGTAACTAATATTCTTCATTTATGTAGTACTTCATCACAGAACAAAGCAAAACTCTTTTTGGTCACTATCATGATGAACCTTGAATTTGGTATTGTTCACTGTACTACACTTTGAAGATAAAAAGATTGACGATATACCTTCATACTACAATGACCACTGCAAAAAGCATAAAGCTGCATTTACAAACCTGCAGCAGTAACATCTCTGAAAGTATTTTTCCAATAAAAACACAGGAGGATAATAGCATATCAAATATTTACCAAAATTGACAGAGTTTAATTAAATGTCAGAAATTTTTCAAAATACTCTTTTACAGGCTTGACTCTCTACACCTAAAGGTATAGATACATAAAATAAACCGAACACATTCAGTAAAGAAATACTGTAAGGTTTTTTTGACAAGTAAACGAAAATGTATCCAAAATAGGCCATTTCTGCTGCTGATTTGGTCTATTTGATTCAGCATCCTATGTTGGTCGCGGTGAACTGATCACTTGAGTAAAAAATTCTTATTAGAGCTTAAAAAGAAAACATGTAACGATAGACCCAATTATCAATACAGAAAAAACCCTTGCAGAGCAGCCTGGAAGATGCTTGTGCATTTCCTGAAGCATCAAATCCCCTCAAAGTGACATGAGCCTGCAACTAGTGTAACAGCTGCAGAAGTTAAGAGGGGCTAGTAAAAGGCACTGGTGGAAACTGTGAACAACTACAATGTTTTAAGAACTATTTTTAATACAGAGACAACCAGTACCACAATATTTTTAAAAATACACTTAAATGAATTTTTTTCTTTTTCTTATTAAATATGTTAAACATGTATCTGATAGTCTACTGAAAAATAATACCTTTCAAATGTGGTTAAAGATTAATCACATATGCAAACATTCAATCTCATTCGGACTGCCATTTAAACAGGTTATTTAAGTGTGTGCTTACTGTTCACAGATATCAGTATGAATGAACCGGGTATGTAGCCACTTAACAGAAATATTCTGCCTTTCAACAGAAATACATTCCTGATTTGCAACAGAAAGAAAAAAGAAGGAAAGAAGAAACCAACAGAAAACATAACCCTTTTTTTTATTGGTTCCGTTCAAAGGAATTCCTAAAAGATCCAAATATCCTGGCTTGTTCCTTTTCTGCTAATGAAAAGAGAACCAAAAATCTGCATACCAATCAAGCAGAGGCTGTTAACTAAGTAGAGTACCAATAAAGACCTACACCCTGGACTCAGTTCCTTCTTTGAAAAGAACTGCTACTCTTAGGAAAAACTTTTCCAGAACTGTCCACAGAAAAATATTTCTAGTCTCAACCAGTCTTGGGATCTATTAATACAGCTATATGGAATATGCACCATCCAATTACTCCAGTAATATCAAACCTCCCCTTTCTTAAATTCTTATTATAACAATCCAAATCAGTAACAGTTTTTTTAATTGAGCATTTCACTTTCTTCCAGAATTATTTCAAAAAAGCCATACTAAAAAAGCTTACTTAATTCATAAAATTAGGACTTCATAAAACAGTCCAACATATTAGAACATCGTGACACTAAATTAAATAGTTTTATATTTATTTAAAAATGTTAGGTCAGGCATATTTTTCAGACTCAAGGGCTTTCAAACACATAAGGATACTTGTTCAAATATGTTATTTTTCTATTTTTTTCCAGACTTCAGTGGTCAAGTTCATTGTTAAGATAATGTTCACTCTGTAATAACGATGGTCTCCATCGTTATCTCCATGGTCTACTAGAAAACACGGAATCACAGAATGGGTCAGGTTGGAAGGTAACACAGCAGGTTATCTGATCCAACCTCCCTGCTCAAGCAGGGCCATCCTAGAGCACATTTCACAGGACTGCATCCAGACAGTTCTTGTATATCTCAAGTGAGGGAGACCCCACAACCTCTCTGGGTAATCTGTTCCAGTGTTCAGTCACCCACACATTAAAGAAGTTCTTCCTCATATCCAGATGGAATTTCCTGTGCATCAGTTTCTGTCCATTGCCTTTTGTCCTATTGCTTGGCACCACCAACAAGAGTCTGGCTCCATCCTCTTGACACCCTCCCTTCAGAACAGATTTTTAGATATTGAACAGATCTCTTGTGATTTTACTTTGTCTAGGACTTAGAGTGAACCACCTTTTTGTGCATATTACCAGATGTTTTTCTGTATTTCCAACCAAATCAAAGAATATGTTGGAAAAATCAAGCACTCACACTTTAAAACATATTTTGACATTACTTAAAATATGAAAATACAGTTATAGTCTTCACTTGTACAAAGAGAACAAAATACAGACATATTAACTTCCCTATTTAATTTCATATTCAAGACAGGAATTAGGACAACTCATCCCCAGCAGATCACTGGTCTGTAGAGTTTGAGAAGGATTTGTTTTTCTGGGCCTCTATTATCACAGCACACAGCCACGAGGAGGAAAAGTTGCCACAATCAGACAGCAGACACCTCTATGGTCCTAATACATATAGGTATCAACTGAGCTGTGACAGGTCAGCAGCTGGATGAGATCAAATTACACATGAAAATCATACTGACCCTTGGTAATTCACTTCATCTCCTCTTGCCTCATATATGAAATCGTGATATACATGTGAAGACACGGTCCTCAGCATTCTGGAAACTTGTCACATGACATGCTAAGACATACTACCTCAGCAACTCAGGCCACTACAAACACATTGCTAAACCTTCCCATCTCTTTACTTGTCTACCTCAGACTTTCCATCTAAAGTTCAAAGCCTCAGGTCTTCTGTTTCAGACTTTTGCTCCTGAATTTTACAAGGCATATTTACCTACAACTTTATGAATAATATCGTGATTAACATCTCTGATTCTTTGCATAACAAAATGATCATGGAAAAGCTATGTATCTAGGAACTTTCTCACAAAACTGGAACAGTGTGCCCTACCAGTTTCCAACAGAACGGTAATGTACACTTTTTTGTGACTGTCTCTCTAGTTTAAATTTGCACATACAAATATAAAATCAAGCCGCTCACAAAAAGATACTCGGTGAGCATGCATTTCTCTCCCAGTGAAAAGACAAGAAAGACCCTACTGGAAGACCTTCAAGCCATGATAGCCATGAATTTTGATTATATATATATATATATATGTGAATTTTAGAGATGCAAACTTTTTGTTTATAAAAATAGACTTCCCTAAGGTTGTTTCTCAAAGCATAAAAGTAATAATCAAAGCACTATTAAAAGAAAAGTGATACATACAATAAGAACAGTCTAAACCTCAATCTAGCAAAGGATTTAAGTACATGTGTAAGTTCATGTCAATTTCATTGAATAAACACCTAAAGCTATGCATGTATTTAAGTTCTATTTTGTGTAAATGATGCTTGCTAAGTTGGAAGACTGGGGAGGAATTTTATATTGATTTACCATGTAGTTTTTCAAATAGTATGAACAGTACAGTAAAACACAAGTAGTTTTGCCTTAGGGATCTATCTAATCATTTGGCTCTTTTCCTGTGCTCTGAATCCAGTTCCATCTGAAGCTGTTGAGTGGATGGAATGTATTTTGTTGTTGAGTGTCATTTTCTCAACTGTAATTTTATTGTACTGGTCTCCTCCCAGGTTCCACCGCCCCTTCATAAATGGTGAAAAATAATTTATATCATTTCCATTAAAGCTGTAACTGAACCTCCCAGTCTCCTTGCAAGTCAATTAATTGGTTATCATGGCTCATGCTCTTGTAATAAAAAAACATTTCCAGTCCCAAAGCAAAAAAATTTAGAAATTACTTTATTCTATCTTCTGTTTAGTTTATGTTGTAAAATATATGAATAAATAAACTCCAAACTTAGCAGTAATAGCATTAATGTAGTTATAGGGAAGCAGAAATCAAATGTAAAGAACCCTCCTGAAGTACAGAACTTGAAGTTGTTGTGGCAGTTATTATAAACACACATACAGTATTGTGTACCTAGGTTTTTCAACTGCTTTCAATTTAAATATCCTTAGAATTTCTTGTACATCACACAATGAAAAACAGAGATGATAAATTTTGAAAAGAATTGCCTTTCAAAGGAAGCTTAAATTTTGCCTGTTTAATTGGTTACTGAATTAAGATTGTGATCATTGACAGAAAAGTAAATTGTCTCTGCTGAATTATTGCTGGATTTAAGTAGCTCTGTGGCTGGTTAGGCTGTTGTTTTCATGGTGAACTCACCCTCCTGTATCCACCATAGCTGCTGTGTATTTACTAGAGTTAAGACTCAGCAGGGATGAGCTGACTGGCAAAACTGTTCACCTACCATGACCTGAACTGTATTTTCTGTGACAGTAAGCAAGCAAAAACCAGTCATGAAGGGTCCATCTGAACTGAAAGGTCCTGAAAGTTATGCTCAGAAGCTCTAGGAACCCAAGATCACAGAAAGGTACAAAATGGTTTCAGGGAACAGCAAAGGATCGTTAAATCCTACATCTGTATGAGATTTTGAGGCTGGAATAAAAGGGTGTGCAGACCACTATTACAACAAATCATTACTAAATTACTTACTCCACAGGCAAATATATTCTTAGGCACTACCCATACAAGTGGTCAGCAAGAACCTGAACTTAGCAGACAAGAAACATCAACCTGTTGGTTGAAAAAGTAACTGAGGTAAGTTCTAAGCATTCTCAAAAAGAGATACCAATGGTATAAGCAGTGATAAATACCATTCTTCTTCTACATTTCAACCATCCTAACCGAGTAACTGCAACTTATAATATCATTTTATTTAATTATATATTTAAAAATCTGTATTATTTTATACTGACATCATAAATATTCAAAAGTAAAAGGCAGGGAGGTAAAACGCATTTTATTTTAAATAAGCTTTAATTCTGGCAAGTATATATTGCAGAATACAGCAATATGAAGAACACAAAACATCACTCTTTCTCATTCTTTTGAAACTGTTTTGGCAAT